CAAAGCGCCAGCGGTCGGTCACAGTTGCGGGCGTGCGCCTAAAAGCGGCTACACGAGCAAAGAAAGGCCCGCCGAAACCTTCCCCGCTAAGGCTAAAAGACCATGAAAAAAACGCCACTAGTGGATCATAGCCTTGGGGAGAGCTGAACTCCAGAGAACCCTAGACTCACCGCGCAGCTCGCGCAGCGGAGAAATCCAGGGTACCTGACGGAAAGCATATGATTTCTTGATCTTGATGGGCGCCCCCACTGTACCCCAAGAGCCCTCCAAGAGGCCCATGAGAGGCATCCCACGAGCCCCTCAAAGGAATCCAAGCTCCTGGTTCCCCAGGTAACTTCCAATATCGTCGCAATCAGGCGCTCCCTCTGAGGGGGGTCGGCGGAATAGCGTAAGTTACCTGAGTAACCAGTGCAAGTCACCAGCCTCGAACTTATCCCCATCCCTGAGATAGCCAATCCCGAGGCACTGACAAACTTGGGGGTGTGCCCTCGGAAGCGGAGGGGATCCCTGAGATCGGCATCGAGTCGAGGTGATGCCAATCATAGAGATAGGGATACTCGTCGGTCGGAAAAAGTAGGTCGAACTATGAAGTAGGAAGGCGTTGAGATTGGGTTTCCGCCCACCCCCCGAAGAGGAGGGTAAAGGGAAAACCACTCGACACTTCAAGTAGGAAGGCGGCTAAAGTAGATCAGGATCAGGGAATCCTTAACTACCTAGCTCTGGGGACCGACGGGTATGCTTCAGGCTGGTAATAGAAGAGCTAGCGGTGCAAACTCTGCACCCTTCACAGGGGGAAGTGGCGGCCACTCTTCCATCCAGGGATACACAGCGATCGGACAACATAGCAGAAGGGAAACACGGCATAAACATAAACTTACGATGGTCCGTGCGGATTTCTTGTACCTGCGCTGGCCCCCGGTTCCTGGCGGGGCGGAGCGCGCCAGGGGCGGCGCCGGAGGCGCCTCCAGCGCGCGATCCAAGAAATCCGCGCGGAGCGCCGAAAGTGTATGTTTATGCGTTTGTGCTTCTTCGACAGCAGGGGCCCGGCCCACCCCTGCCGAATGAAGGGGAGGGAGAAGAGGCGAAGGAAAGGAGGAGGTGGGGGACAGCAACTTCCACCCTCAGAGCGGCTGACAGCCGCGCAGCAAACTCACAAGCATCTGGTGCTGCAGCGCTGCACGGAATGCGACGACCAGATCGAGCTCGGTCCCCCTGCTACTTATCCCCTCCTCCTCCTCTTCTCCTCCTCCTCCTCCTCCTCCTCCTTCCTATCGTGACTCGTCGGATCGGCGCCAGCTCCCCCTGCCGCCGCCTCCAGGGGAAGAGCACGCAGCAGGCGCGCAAACCTAAAATATCCGACGGCGTGACGTGTTCTTACCAGCCTGGAACATATGCCTATCCCTATGCTGGGCATTTCCTCATCACGATGCCAATCTTAGGGATTCCCTATTTTTTGAGGGCGAGACCCTAAGATTGTCATCGCCTTTTGGCGTGTCAATCTTAGGGATAGGGATCAGTTCGAGGCTGGTAAGTGTTCGGCCTGGGCGGCCGTCCTCGACCTCTCGGCCGCTGAGACGCGTCACCCAGCCCCCCGTCAGGGCCACCCGAAACGGAGCCGGGACGAGAGAGTAATGCGGGATGACGATTATTATTCTAAAAAATGTGAGAGAACGATTAAACAAATAGTTTTCTGCTATTTCTGCACCGCTTTCTGACCGGACGAGAAGGATTTTTGAAAAAAGTTCTCCAGCCCGCGGCCGGTTTTTTTCTAATCTAATCGTCATCCAGGGCGCCGCCGCGTGAGCACGACCCCCTGCCATTTATTAATCGTCATCCTCCATTACACCCCAGAGTCAGGGGGACGTAAGACCTGGGTACAGGGGACTCGGAAATCCCCGACGAGGTCGTCAAAAAAATGACGAGGCCGAGCCTGCATTTTGACGAGGCCTCCCGCTGCAGACATCCCACGAAGCTCCTCCTCGTCAAAATCCGAGGCGCGGTCGTCAAAAAACGAGGGCGAACCCGAGTCCTGGCAAACCCGGGTCTTACGCTCCCCCGACAGAGGAAGGGTCGGGGCCTCTGGGGCTGGGCGCGGCAGCAGTAAGCCGTGCCGCCGCACGTCTGCACACGCCCGCCCGGCTGCACACCCCTCGGCAGCGCGCATAGAACAACAGCGCTGCGGGACTGCAGGCTTCGCCAAAGAAGCTCAGACATCTGGACTGGGCCCTGGGCGTGCGCTCGGAGCCTCTCGTCTTTGCGCGGGACGCTCGCATCTGCGGGCAGTGGGCTACGATTCTAGGAGCACGCTCGGAGCGAAGGCCATCTTCTTGGCAATCCAAGTTCCCAACTTTCCGCTTCGGTCGGGCATGTCCTCCTACGGGCGGAGTGTGGGAGAAAAGCAGAGCATGGCCAACAGACGCATCAAACAGAATCCAACCTAGCCGCAACATCGTCTCCAGATCATGCGCCGACTGCTTTGGCACACTCCTCCTGTCGAGGGACGTGCCCGACTCGACTCTACGCTTATGTCGGGCCTGTCCCCCTACAGGGGGATTTTCGACGAAAGATAAAAACTACCCCAAAAAATAGTCCGAACATTCGCCGGCCCGACGGGCCAGAGGCGTGCTAAGATCTCCGGTAACTACTTAACAATATTTCTAGTTCGCGCGCGCGGGGCGGCCCCTGGGGGGCCCCGGACGAAACGTACCCCGGCCGATCCCCGGGCGATCCCCAGGGGGGAGGCTATTTTTCGCCACCCCTCACGAGGATCGTGGGGGCTGCCAACGACTACCCCCCCTCCCGCCCCAAGGGGCCCCCAAGAGCCCCCCAAGAGGCCCCAGGGGAGCCCAATACGCCGCCAAGGAGCCCCAAGACGCTCCCAAGAAGCCCCCAAGAAGCCCCCAAGACGGGCCCCAAGAGGCCCCAAATAGCGCTCCAGGGCCGGCGGAATGAGCGAAGCGATTAAGTAATCCACAAATGGCCAGGGGACTATTTTTTGAGTATCTTTTGGCCTTTTTTGAGCATGTTGGGGGTATTCTTTATTTTTCGTCTAAAATCCCACCTGTAGGGGGACAGGCCCGACTCGACTCTGCGCAGGGGGGTGCAAAACCTTCGGGGGTCCGCGGCGCCGGGCCTCCCCGTCCCTGGCCGCGCGGAGCGCCGCGCGGGAGCGGCGCCCGACTCGCCCACGCGAGAGAGAGGGACCCTTCGCCGGAGGGACCTCCGGTGGCGGCCCGGAGGCTTAGCTGCCCCGATGCGCAACACGCGACACGTGGCGTCCTGATACGGAGCTCAGCACGTGGACTGGAAACGCAGGTCCGACGCGACGCGTTCGCCAACACGTGGGCCAATACGCGGAGCCAGCACGCAACGTATTGACACGGACGTCTTGGACACGGGACGCGTTGCGGTTCAAAACGGGCGTATCGAGGCAGCTAAGCCCAAAGGGGGTCGGGTGCTTCTTTACTGGTGGAACGGGCTTGGCCTCGCGTCGGCACCCGCATCGCGCGACTACGCTTGCATCTGAGCGCGCCGGGTCTGGGCCCGCCCCCTGCGGTCGACGGCAACGCAACGCAGACGCGTCGCAGCGCACACGCCCTGCGCCTCCCGGGCTCTCGGCGGGAGCTTGGGAGGGGCAGGTCGTGTGGCGGCCGGCACAGCTCCAGGGAAATCGGCGCGGGGCTCCGACACAACAGTCTGCCCCAGCAGCAGACGAAGCCAGGGCGAGGTCGGGCATGTCCTCCTACAGGCGGACTTCGGAAGCAAAGTGCAAACAAAGATAGGCACACCACAATCAAAAGCACCCCCAAGAGCACGAAACATCGTCCCCAGACTATTTGTCATGATATGTGTTGCTGTTATTGTTGTTCCTTCCCTACCTAGGCTCTGCCTAGAAGGGTTCTTACTATTAGGCTTAAAGGGCCGGGCAAGGGAACCCGCCCCGGGCGGTTCCCCGGGCATCCGCCCCGCGGTTCCCCCAGTGACGTTCCCTTAGCTTCGCGTTGCTTATCTCATCTTAGCTTAGCTTATTTCATCTTACCTTAGCTTAGCTTCATCTTGCCTCAGTTTTATCTTAGCTTAGCTTACCTTCATCTTAGCTTCGCTGAGCGTTAGCACAGCATGGCATAGCATAGCATAGCGTAGCATAGCGCAGCATCACATATCATAGCATGGATGTAATCCCCTATCTAGGCTCTGTTTAGAGGGTTAGCTTAGCTTAGTTTAACTTAGCATCGCGCAGCGCTGCATTAGCATCACATAGCATAGCATAACATAGCCAAGCATAGCGAAGCATAACGCAGCATAGCACAGCATATCATAGCATAGCATCGTTTACCTTTTTGGTGTATGTGTTGGGTATTTCCCTACCTAGGCTCTGCCTAGAAAGGTTCTTACTCTCTGGGCTTAAAGGGCCGGGCAGTGGAAAGCGCCCCGGGCGGTTCCCCCAGTATCCGCCCCGCGGTTCCCCCAGTCCTCTGGGAGCGTTAGCTTTAGCTTTAGCTTAGCTTTAGCTTAGCTTTAGCTTTGCTTCAGCTTAGCTTCAGCTTAGCTTCAGCTTAGCTTTAGCTTAGCTTTAGCTTAGTTGTAGCTTATCTTTAGTTTAGCTTTAGCTTAGCTTCAGCTTAGCTTCATCTTAGCTTTAGCTTAGCTTTGGCTTAGTTTTAGCGTAGCTTTACCTCAGCTTTAGCTTGGCGTTAGCTTAGCCTCAGTTTAGCTTCAGCTTCGCTTTAGCTTAGCTTTAGCTTAGCTTTACTGTTACTACTAATGCTGCTTTCCTAGGAGCTCCAACATCTAGGTAGGGTCGCACTGGGATACTTTCATTCTTTATTTTCTTTTTTGGGGGGAGAGGGGGTATGCTCTCCCCCAAAAAATCTGTTATTAGATTCTTGGATGCTCCGCCTGTAGAGGACACGCCCGACTCAGGCCGAGAATGGATTCGGGTGCAGACTGGAGCGGACTCGTGCTCGTCCTGGCCCCGCTCGTCGGCCGCTTTCCCTGCTTCAGTCCTGCGCCAGACGGCGAAGGGGCGGGTGGGGCACGAAGTCGGCGGAGGCGGCCAGGCCTTCCGGGGGGCGGCGGCGACGACGATTGCGACGACGACCACGACGATGATCACGACGACGAACACGAAGACGACGACGACGACGACGACGACGACGACGACGACGACGACGACGACGGCGGCGACGGCGGCGGCGGCGGCGACTACGACGACGACGACGACGACGGCGACAGCGACGACAGCGACAGCGACGATTGCGGCGGCGGCGAGGAGCGGAGAGTAGGAGGAAGGAAGGAGGAGGGGATACGAAAGAGAAGAGCGGCTGGACGATGAGTAGAGATGCGGGAGGATGAGGAGGGGGAGGAGGAGCAGGCAAGCAAGCAAGCAAGTCCCTGTGCGACGAGAAGGTCGGGCCTCCGACTGACGAGGAAGACAAGTAAGGAGCCCACAAAGGACTAGGCGCCCAACCCCGTACATGCGTACGGCACTCCAGCCCGCCAGACCAACCTCGTGTTACGACCATCCGCACAGTGCGTACTTTCGAACACAGCGTGGACTCATGTATGTGCACGTCCTTCTGTCGCTCCTGAAAGTGGGGCGGAGTGCGCAAGTGAGAGATGCCTTCACGAGTGCACAACCCAGACGCTCTCACCGAGGTGTCAGGCCTCTGGAGGTCTCTGCAGGTCGTCAGACGTTTCTGGAGGGCTCTGGAGATGTCATGAGGAAGTGACTGGTGTCTGCAGGTCGTCAGACGTTTCTGGAAGGCTTTATGTCTGGAGGCGGCGCGCCCAGGGAGGAAGTGAGAAGGAGAAGGCCTTCTCAGAAGGGTTGGAAGTTCCCGGGACTTCTGAGAAGTTTTCCAAGCCTTCCCCGAAGACAGAACAAGACTTCTCAGAAGGCTGGAGGCCTTCTGAGAAGTCCCGCCGCCTTCCGAGAAGGCCTTCTCCTTCTCCTTCCCCCTTCGCTCGCCACTGATTCAAAAGATCTCAAACGACGACGGCCAGGCGGTCTCATCCGCGTGCGACTGCTGAACTGAGCAGGGGCCGACCGTCCTGGCATTCCTATAGGTCTACCACGGAATGTTCTTAGAGCCCAGAAATTTTCTAAGAACAAAAAGTAATGCTCTTAGAACGCAAGCCCGATGTGGTCAAACAAGACAGTCCCAGCCAGAAATGGTCTAAGAGCATTCCGTGGAAACCACAGAAAGGTTCTTACAACATTGTTCGGTAGACCTACTGCGCCACTGCTTGACTGAAGAGATGCCAGGCTGCTGCAGGAAGCGCAGATCCACAATACACGTAGCTCGGATGGCGCCGCGTGCCCCGCTGATGCTCTGTTCATCCCTCCCGAGTCGTGGGCCTGGTTCACACCACCACCAACACCATAAGTTTGAGGGGGGAAGGAGGTGGAGGATGAGGAGGGGGAGGAGGAAAAATAGGATGAGGAGGTGGAGGAGGAGGAGGAGGAGGTGGAGGAGGAGGAGGAGGAAGAATAGGATGAGGAGGTGGAGGAGGAGGAGAATAGGAGGAGGAGGTGGAGGAGGAGGTGGAGGAGGAGGAGGAAGAATAGGAGTAGGAGGAGGAGGAGGAGAAGAGGGACCCCAGCCCCCTCCTACTTCTGGTGGCGGCCGTGGAGAACAAGCCCACCACCGAGATGAGGAGCATCCCTCCCGTTGGATGACAATTGTTGGATGCAGCCGGCGCCCGTGCCCAGCGAGGCTCTCCTGGGTGCCGCTGCGGCCCAAACCTCTCCCGGGTGCGTTCAGACAAGGATTTCGAGGCGATTCCAGCGCTGGCGACGAGGGTCGCCCAGGAGGCCTCAAAAGGGGCAGCACGAGGGAAAGGCACGGGTGATGGGTGTACCTGTTCCTCCTCTGAGATGCCTTGGGCACTTCGTAGGCCACCCAGCGAGCGACGAGAGCCCGATGCAGAAACACTGAACCACAGTCGGGGGCGCGCCCGTGGGGGGAGTGCGAAGGAGCAGGCCTTCTCGGGAGGCGGCGGGGATTCTCAGAAGCCCTCCAGCCTCCCGAGATGCTCTCTGTGTCTTCGGGTCGGGGGGACGTGAAGGTAAGGAAAGGGCAGAGGTGGGGTCGGAAGGAGAATCGCGCCTGGAAGAAGGAAATGTGAGTATCCAGCCGAGTTCGTTCCCTAACCCCACCTTAGGATAACCCTCCTCTGAGAAGATGTCTCAAAGGCTTCCTGTGTCTTGGGGGGAAGCTCAGAGAACTCCTCAAACGACGGCCGGACGCCGTCCGAGCCTACTGAGAAGGCCCGCCCCTGCTCATCTCCCCCCCGGCTGGCCAACGACTCCGAGGGTGCGTTCTGACCAGGATGTCGAGGCGAATCCAGCGGTGGCGACGAGGGTGCCGAAGGGTGCTGGTATGGGTGCCTTTCCTCCTCTGGGTCATCAGCTCGTCGTTGTCGTTGTCGTCGTAGTCGTCGTTGTGGTCGTCGTCGTCGTCGTCGTCGTCGTCGTCCTTCTGGGTCGGCGGCACCGCTGGATGCCCTTCACAATGCAGGACCGTCGTGCAAAAAAATCAGTGGACAACGCGACCAGGTTGAGATGCGACGTGAGTGTCACTGATGCTCCGCACGCAAAAGTTGAAGAACAGCCCGTGTTTCGCGTGTCGCTGATGCAACCCGTGTCATATGTACTCATGATCAGGATGCAAGGGCCTTGGGAGGGCGCTTCGAAGCTTTTCGAGCGGGACGCGGCCAACGAGAGTGGCCAAGGATGGACCGAGGAGGCAAGGATGCAAGGGTACCCTGTCGGGGTCGGACAAGAGGGGGGCGTCCAAAAGAGGGCGGCGCAAGTCGTGGCCGGCGGCACGTGCGCGGCCCAGGGGGGGGGCCAAGGACGGGACGTATCGAAATAAGGGAAAGCGCCGTGAAATCTGGGGAGATATCATGGCCCCCGCCATGATATCCACCGCCCCTAGTCATCACCCCCCTACCCTCTGTTTGCCGTCCCCGCTACTATGCGGGCTGACTGCACTCAGTACCCCTCCCGAGAGGAGAGGGGGAGGCGTTCCGAGGCAGTTCGGATGTCTCTCGGGGTCTCTGGGGGGCCCCCGGCGGTTCTCGGAGGGCTCCAGAGAGGTCTGTGCATGCCCACTCCCCCCCCTCCCCCACTCGCCCCAGGAGGAGAACGCAACGGGATGTAGTGGGGGTCAGTCCTCAAGAAACCTTCCACAAGATACCCAATCCTGAGACCCCAGGGCGTTCGTTGGTTTTTGGCGTGGGAGCGTCATGCTTTCCGTCGCAGAAGCATCGAAAAACCGAAGAAGCTCAGGGCACCCTGGAGGCGAGCAGGGCGTCTCTTGGCATGGGTCTCCACCATAAGCATAAAGTAAGCTCTCCAAGGCTTGCGCGGCATTCTGGGATCGCCACTGGCGGCAGCACCCCGGGGAGATCGAGGTCTCGCTGGACCTGCGCATGCGACGCCGACGCCAGTCCGCGGGACCTCCCAGGGGCAACCAGCCTGGGCGGACGAAAGAGGGAGGAATAGCACAGGGGGGGACTGTTGTGCCGATCGGCGCGGGAGGAGGAAGAGGAGGAGGAGGAGGAGGAGGAGCAGGAGGAGGAGGAAGAGGGGGAGAAAGAGGAGAAGGAAGAGGAGATGGAGGAGGGGGAGGAAGAGGAGGCGGAGGAGGAGGAGGGGCTGGCAACCAGCCAGGGCGGACGAAAGAGGGAGGACTAGCACAGGGGGGGAGGGATGGCGAGCCGGCTGCTCGCAGCGGGTTCCCCAAGGCCCCCACTGGTGCCGGAGGCGGCCAGTGCCCGCGGGAAGCGCCCTGCGGCGGCGGCGAAACGAGCTGCGTGCAGCAGCACACTTGGTACCACCCCCGTCTCTGGAAGGAGAAGCGGACGCAGCAACGTGTTGTGTCCCGTCGGTGGCGAGGCAGAGGCGCCCCGCTCCAGCGTGTGGCAACTCGGGGCAGCCGAATGGCGAACTGGCCTGCATCCAGACGCATAGACATCAACTTTCCAGGCTCTGCGCGGAGGCGGATCCCCGAGAGGCGCGGGAGGCCCCACCAAGGGGATCCGCACGGATCCGTAAGCCATCCGGGCGGACCTGCGAGAGCGCACGTGTATGGACTTCTGCTCGTGCGATCGCCCCCTGCCCCTCCCATCGCCGCGAGAGACGCGAGTCCTCAGGGGAAAATGCCCCGGAGCCAGGACTTCTCCCCAGGACCCTGACTTCATCACCAAACGTTTGTGGAGCGAGCCCTGGGACGCGGGGGGGGTCCAGGGAGGCCGAAGACGGCCTTCCCCTCAGGACCAGTCCCGCTCACTCCGACTCTCATTTCGCTCCCCCTCGACGTCGATCCTCGAACCGCCGATGACGGCGACGTGCGGACGAAGAAAGTCTGGGGCCCCAGGTCAACACATACGACCCCCAGACCTGTGAGGTGTGCACCAGACTTTCGAGAGGAATCTTGCTGCGACGACGAGAGCCTCCTGGGGGCCCAGAACAATTAAAAAAAAAGCATCCCGAGACGGCGACCTGCTGCGATCCCCGATCGACAGCGACGACGGCGGCGACGACGGCGCCGACGAGGGCGGCGCCAAAGAGCTCACCGATGTCAATCAAACGTGGGTACCTCTCGCCATCGCTCGGACGTCCATTCCATGTTTTTTTTCGATTTCGTGCGTGGTTGTTTCGCCAAATGATCAAGGATGCTCCTCGATGGTCCTCGCCGAAGGAAAAATGCACACGTCCGAGCGATGCCAGGACCTTCAAACATGTCTGCTCGTTCCTCGTGCTGCCACGAGGAGCGCCGCATCAGGAACAGAGGGGATGTCCTGGCCACGGCGAGCTGCGGCCTCGAGAGCAGCTTCCCCGGCCTGCGGCACGGTCCGAGAACCCCGGGGGGGCTCCTGGACCGGGCCATCGCTCGGACGTCCATTTCCTGTGCTTTTTTCGGTTTCGTGCGTGGCTTTTTCGCCAAATGATCAAGGATGCTCCTCGATGGTCCTCGCCGAGGGAAAAACGCACACGTCTGAGCGATGCCAGGGGACCCGGCGTGGCCCCGGCGTCAGCATCTAGACCGCCGTGGAGCGGTGCCTGCCTGCCGCAGGAGTGCACACCTTCAGCCCGACTTTTGCCGGCGGCGGGCGAGGGGGGACATGGGCAGGAGGAGGCCTTCTCGGAAGACTCGGAGGTCCCCCGGCCTTCGGAGGAGTCTTCTGAGCCTTCCCCGAAGACCCAAGAGAACTCCTCGGAGGGCGCGAGGGCTTCTGAGAAGTCCCGCCGCCTTCGGAGAAGGCGGTATCCTTCTCACTTCCCCCCTCGCTCGCCGCCGACTCCAAGGCCGCCCTAACGGCGATGTTGGTTAACGGCGATGTTGAGAATCTGGTTTTTGTCACGCCGAGCTCGCGCAGAACAGATTGTAGTAGATCACGAAAAAACACGTTTCCTACGTTTCAGACATGCGACTGCATCAAACGAAAACGGCACAGCGAGTTGCAGGAAAACACGAAGCACGCGTTCCTACAGTCGGTTTGGTCACGAGCCACTCCTTCATACAATTGGTTGTCCTACCTCGCCGTTAGCTAACTAACTACCTACCAGACCACTCCAACCCAACCGGAAGACCCGAATTTCGGGTGGGGGGGACGGGCTCCAGATGTGCTGTTGTTCAGTGTTCCCCGCCCCCCCACTGGAAATGAAACGGAGGGCAGATTGAAGCCTTCGGGTTGGGTTGGGATGGTTTGGTGGGTGGTGACTAACACACCCTTAGCGCGTCTGCGGCGACTTCGGCCCGCAGGGAGCTCTGAAGAGGCCCAGGGACACACACACACACATACATACATATATATATATATACACACACACCAGGATTCCCCATATTTTGCCATAGTTTCTGGGCTTCTGCGTCCCCCCCCTCCCACTTCCCATACTTTCGCATATTTTCCCTGGGAAGTCGACGATCGATCGTGTCTGTGTGTGTGTGTGTGTTGGTTCCCTCCCGAAGCTCGAGCGACGGCGCGGCAGCCGCGCCCACGCCGCCGCGGGGCCTGCGCAGCGGGCCTCGAGGCGCCGCCTGCTGTGCAGCGGGCTCCCCAGCAGCCACTCCCAGTCCGCGGCCTCTCGGCCCGCCCGCGGCCGCCGCCCGCTCGCCGCCCGCCGCCGCCGTGGCGCTCGGCGGCCGCCGCCGTCGCCGCCGCGGCCCGTCGTGGGCGCCGTGGTCGTCTGAAGGGGAACTGGGACACACACAAAAATAAGTAGACACAACTAACCTGATTCCCCATAATTTCCCAACATTTTCGGGGTTTCTGTCTTCCCCCCGACTTCCCATATTTTCCATATTTTCTGGGGAGTCGACGATTAATTGTGTCTGTGTGTTTTTTCCCCTCCTGATCGTCGTCCTCGGCGCCGTGGTCGTCGCGGTCGCGGCCGCCGCCGCCGCCGTCGCGGTCGTCGCAGCCCCCGTGGCGGGCGTCGCCGCCGCCGTCGCCGTCGGCCGCGAGGGTCGTCGCCGCCGCAGGCGTGGGCGCCGGGGCCGTGGCTTGGGAGCAGAAGGGCATACTCGCACACTGCGCGTCCTCCGCGGAGGCGTGCGTCCGACCCGAACCAGCACGTCCATCTTGTGGTACAGTCGTCGAGTGCTCGTCGTGGTGCTGGTCGTCGTGGCCATTGGCCGTGGTCGTTCTCGGCGCCAGGGTGGGGCCGGGGCGGCCTCGGGCGGGGCCCGCCCGCCGGTCGGTGGCCTGCCACAGGGGCAGGGGGCAAAAACAGCAGGCATGGGGGGGCGGGCCCTCCTCCTCCTCCTTTTCCTCCCTCCTCCTCCTCCTCCTCCTCTTCCTTCCTTCCTTCCTTCCTCCCTTCCTCCCTTCCTCCCTTCCTCCCTTCCTCCCTTCCTCCCTTCCTCCCTTCCTCCCTTCCTCCCTTCCTCCCTTCCTCCCTTCCTCCCTTCCTCCCTTCCTCCCTTCCTCCCTTCCTCCCTTCCTCCCTTCCTCCCTTCCTCCCTTCCTCCCTTCCTCCCTTCCTCCCTTCCTCCCTTCCTCCCTTCCTCCCTTCCTCCCTTCCTCCCTTCCTCCCTTCCTCCCTTCCTCCCTTCCTCCCTTCCTCCCTTCATCCCTTCCTCCCTTCCTCCCTTCCTCCCTTCCTCCCTTCCTCCCTTCCTCCCTTCCTCCCTTCCTCCCTTCCTCCCTTCCTCC